TTATGCCCTTTGAGTCTTCGCTCCTATCCTTTATTTATTCTCGGCACTTTTCTAAACCCTGTTGTTTATGCACATCCTTCTTTAACTGGACACGATGCAGTTTTATTATTATTAACCCTATTTCAGTTCACTCATTTACAGAATTCACATAATTATGTTTTGATACCCAGGTGGACTAATTAAGCATTGGAGTAGAAAACACGGGACACAAAAGACAGATGACTGTCGAGCTTAATATTGCAGTATGTTGTAGAGAAACTCAGGAATCAAGAAAATGCTAAACTGGTATGTGCTAATTTGCCATACAGTACTATGATATTTTCAGTTCTGGTATTTGAGAGGAAAAACCCTGATCTCACCTATCTGCACTTCTGCCCCACCGTTAGACTAGTAGCTTGCAACAACATTTATTATATATTACATTACTGAAATAGTATGAACTTGTTACTTTGATACGGCTGTTAAAGAATTGTATGGTTTTTTGATAGTGACACTATCCCTGGAGCTCTGGCTTGGATAATTCCCAGGGTGACTGCTACTTTTTAATATAGTCTAGTTGTCCCAAGCTGTAACTACGATCTGAGTGAGCTGGGCTTGTTCAGACTGGAAAAGAGAAGGCATAGAGGGGGATCTAATAGCAACCTTCTAAAATCTGAGGGGAACGTAATCAAGAAGATGGAGCCAGGCTCTTTATAGCAGTGCATAGCGGGAGCAAGAGAGACAACAGGTGTGAGGTGAAACAAGACAAGTTCGGACTGGATTGAAGAAAGACTTTTCCATCGTGAGGACAATTAAGCAGTGGAAGAGCTTGCCCAGCAAGGCTGTGCAGTCTTTGGCCTTAGAGGTTTCCAAAACCAGATTGGAAAAAGCCCAGAGCAACCTGGTCTGACCTCCTAGCTCACCATGCTTTGAGCAGGTGGACCACAGATCTCAGGTCCCATCCAATCTGAATGATTCTGTGACATTAAAAAAACATATTGTTTGCACTTTCTGCACATGCCCTCCTTATCAAGTTATTGACATCACAATACAATGGGTCTTACTTATTTGCAATGCCTGTCATCTGCCATCTGCGAACTTTCCGGTACAGTTTTGTTTGCTTTCAGCTTATTCAAAGCCATTAATTAGTACAGTTCAAAGAATGGGTGCCTGCTGGTCATAACCCAAAGAGCACTGGCTCTATGGCTACTATTCTTCACAATTGTATTTTTCTAACTATTGCTTAGCACGTGTTGAAAACGGGCTACGATAAGGTTACATTCCTCAGCTTTCTGAACCAAAATGTCTTACACTACTAGCTGAAACACTTTACAGACCACTTAACACACCAACACCATCATGTTTATCAGTGACACCTGTAGTCCCATCAAGAGAAGATAAAAATAGGTATCGTAACTAATTTTAAAAAAATCAATACTGATCGCCATATGGTGGACGCTGGTTGCTGCTGCTATCACCAGATCCCTCAGGCACACTAGTGAGGCTCAGGAATTAACAGGCATTAAAATACAGCTCACTGTGACACTGAAAAGACCAGGACCTGGAACTGCACATTTTCAGCAGCTAGGTCCAACCAGCTTCTATTTCTTGCCCAGAATTTTGCTTTTTCCTGCTTCTAGAGCACTCAATGTAAATTAGAAAGACTTGGATTTCTGGAAAAGTTTTTGCTGAAACATACACACTTAGTCTTGTAACTTTTCCAAACTCTCCACAACTCAGCCCAAAAAGGGCCCCCAACTTTTCCATTACATTGCTACGCCACACTGCTAGGCAGTCCCCTGGACCAAAACAAACGCCAGCACAGTGTGGTGACACCACTGCAATCTACCAAATATCCTAGGGCATATATCACACTTTCAGTAAATGCCATTCAGACAGATTTAGATTGGTGTACTTTCTTTACAAAGGTAAATCCTCGGGGCTTCATTGGTCCAACCGAAACACTATGTTCACTACTAAATATGTCTCCTATCTCAAGTTCAAAAGTGTGGTAAGACATATTTTTTCACATTCTTTCACTGTGACACCAGTAAAAAAAATTCTACCTATCTAATCGGGTGCGGAAGAAGTGTAGCAAGATCAGCTGTCAACAGCACTGCATGAAGCACTGTGGAAAGAGCACAAATCACAAGAAGGCAGAACTCGCTAAAGATAAATGTTAAGCGAGTTCTGGCACATTCACTGTAAGTTTACAGGACACACAAAGCTACTTCAAAGCAGCTGATGTAAATTCACATACTGCCGGAACGGCTGCTATGACTGCTGGAACGGTGTGTCTGGTTCAAGAGGCACCTCAACGAACTGAGGACTTACAGAAAGACATGGGAACTAATACCATGCCTTGTAATGACTGAAGGGACAGCTAGTACACAAACATTCACTTTTAAACTTTGCTGTGCCCATAGCTTGTATTTGCTATGGTCGCAAAGCAGCTTGAAGATGAAGTCATGGGCATGATGATTGTTTGAAAGAAATCAAATATTACTCACTGATTCATCGTCTAGTCTATGAAACAGCTATCATAAGATGAATCGGTCAAGCAGGTCCATCAAATATCCTTGTGCTTTCTGTCCCAATCACCTGCATCGCAGCATTGTGCAGCAGTAGAATTATCAGCAGAAAGTGCACCAGGTTGTGTGTTTTGTGTCTTATTTCAAAAGCAAGTTTATAGCGAATTACTATCACTGTAAAAACACAACTGTGACACTGCTTTTATTCCACTTTGACTTACATTCCATCTCGGATGATAGACAGAATTAAGCATTTTAGAGGAGGCTTTCTGCTAATTTTTAATAGTTAGAGATCAATAAAAATAATGGTTTAGCTGGCTCCAATTCCTACAAAAATTGCTCCATTGTAACTCCTGACAGCTTGTTCCCATATATATATCTCCAACCTCTTTTTGAATCTTAGCAGATTCTCCATTTTAAATGGTATTCTGCAGCAAGAAAAATTAACAGCTCAGTCAAGCATTCTGCACAGAACAGAAGCAAAACAGCCTTTTGCATTTACCACTGTCCTGTCACCTACTGGATCATGCCTGTTTCTGCAGAATATTAAAATGGCCAAACAGTTGCTCCAAAGAGAGGATTATCATAGAGAATATAGAACCTTTACAACATTCAAATATGGTATTCTGAAATTGACATCATCACTGGGATCCAGCTTCTGATGCTCCCCATCAAGCATGCTCCCGTGACAAGATGTAGCTGCTATGAGCTGCTATGTTGCTTCATCTCGGCATGCTGCATGCAGTGTTCTCCTTCCATTCTACTCCTGCCCAATGTATCTTCCGGACTTCCATGCCTGCCAAACTCTACTATCTCCCGATGCTTTCTTTATTTTTTTGGTTATGATCTCCTTCGGATTCCAGTTTTCTTGCCTTCTGAATTACACTGACCATCGTCAGTGATTAATAAATAGGTATTGGTGACAATCAAAGGGCCTTTCCACTAAAGAACCTGCACAATCCCTCTGAAATGCTGGGACGCCACTGGCTGGAACCATGGGGTAAGAAACTGCAAGTTAAAGCTTCCCAAGTTTCCCCAAGTGGAGGAGGAGGTCAAGGTTGATCTTTGTCCTAATTTAATGTCATCACAAATAAATTTCTTTTTCCCAGCTGTCAGCTCCTAAGGGGCATGCCTTAGTATGCCTCCCTGCAGCTATCCTGTATCCTGACACATCCATCCTTCCTGACCAAATTGGCTTCCTGCCAGCCTCACAATCCACTGGAATGCCTCTCGGAGGTCTCTGATGAGACCGTCTTCTCCCCTATGCCTGCTTGGCTCTTTCATGGCTCCTACTATGGGCAGCTGCAGCAAATTTTTCTGAAGCCATTCATACCACCCCAGTCACATCCTCTCACCCACACGCCAAGGGACAGGGCAGCTGCCCCGGGGCAGGGCGGTTGCCCCAGGGCAGGGCAGAGCCCACCAGCAGGCAGCAGCAGGGACTGCACCAGGGAAGCCCCACACTATGGGCACATGGTTGCACTTGGCCCGCGCCCTGACCACCTCGCCCACCGCAACCCAGGCGCCCCATCCCGCCCGCTGTCACGCCAGGCCTCACCTTGATCAGCTTGCAGCGGATCTGGGCAGACACCATGTGGCTGTTGCGGAGGTTGCCGACACGGAACATGAGGCAAAGCTTGCCATCCCGCTGTGAGACGACTGCAGCACGGCTGAACATGAGGGTCTCAGCTCGCTTCTTGGGCTGGGACATCTTGATGAACATGCAGCCGATGAGGAATGCATCAACGATGGAGCCCAGCAGCGACTGGAAGAGGAAGAGCACAATGCCCTCAGGGCAGCGCTCAGTAATGTAGCGGTGCCCATAGCCAATGGTGGCCTCTGTCTCTATGAAGAAGAGGAAAGCGGAGGGAAAGTTGTACACATTGGCCACGCACGGACTGTAGGTGTCGTCATGCACCTGGTGCAGGTCACCTCGCAGGTAGGCAATGCCCCACCACATCGAGGCCATAACCAGCCAGGCGACTGTGTAGGTCAGCAGGAAGATAAGCAGGTTCCAGCGCCACTTGAGGTCCACCAGAGTGGTGAAGAGGTCAGAGAGGTAGCGGCTGCTCTCGCCACCCAGGTTCCCGTGTTGCACGTTGCAGCGCCCGTTCTTGTCCACGAAGCGCTGCCGCTCTCTGCGGGCGCTGCTGCAAGCCAGGCCCACCGCCTGGTACTCGTCCCCAAACTTCCTGCGCACGGCAGACATGCTGCCCGCAGCCGAGGCCCTCCACGGGCGAGGTGAGGATGCGGCGAGGCGGCGG